CACGAACTCACGCGCTTGCTGGTAACTTAGATCTCGTAAACGAAATGAGGGCCTTGTCCCGTCTGTCCGGGTGCATCTAGCTCCGTGTTCAACATCGCGGCCACGGGGGTCGGGTCCAAAACACCCATCCGGGGATCTCGCTTCAGCGCGACGAGCCCGTACTTGCCCTTCTCGTTAGCAATAAACACGTACTTCTGCTCGGCATCTAAGCTGAGGCAGAAGGAGCGCGGCTGCAGACCGCCGCTCGAGACCCTGGACACGTAGTCGAGGCGCGCGGCGCCACCGTCCTTCTTCCAGAACGCAAAGTGCGCGACGTGGTCGTTCTCGTCGCCCGTGCGCCGGTTCGAGACGTATACGTCGCGCTGGTTCCACGCGACGGCGATCTCGGCTCCCGCAGCCCTCGAAGGGTCCCGCGGGGGCGTGCTGCCGTACGTGCTCTGCCGTTGGATCTGCGTCAGTAGAATCGTGTCGCTGACGTACTTGGCTTCGAAGAGGAAGAGCTCGTTGGTGAACTCCGCTACCATGGCCAAGTAGTGCGTTCCCTCGCTCGTGAGGAAGGCGACGTGGCGCGGGCCGACGCCCGTGGGCACGGGAGCGATGTTGGTGATCTCGTACCGGTCATCCTTCGCATCTAAGATTAGCAGCGTGTCGGCGGTGAGGTTCGGGATGATGAAGAAGCGGCCCGTGGGATCGAGGACGGCTTGGTGTGGACGGTGGTGGTTCCGTCCCGGGCTCGGATTACCTGGGATAGAGAGGCTCTTCATGAGCCTGAGGCTGCCGTCGGCGGCCGAGATGTCCCATATATCGATCGTGCTACTGAAAAAAGAGGCCTCGACAATTCGGGTCTTGTCGGCGTTGAACTCAAGATGAACACCACCGCGGGAGCCTTTCGCGCTGGAGACGAACTTGGGCTTGTCGAGGAATAGCTCCATCAAAGGCCATGCAGCGTCCCGGATGTTCTCATCAGAGTGAACCCTTTCGCAATTCTCTATGTGTCTTATGGCGTTGGATAAAAAATCAGGACCGAGCTGGAACACATTAGTGTCATCGGCTAGCGGGTTGATGGCGTACAAGAGGTTAGGCTCCTTGAAGAGGATCCAGCTCGGCAACAAATCCGGTCTTACGTACCTACCGGTGACGGTGAACTTGACACCGTCGAAGGTGATGAACAACATCTGGTCCCGATTACCGACGACAAGCATTCTGAGCTCAGCTTGAGAGGTATTTTGACCAGACATTATGTATGCTTGTTGTTGTTTTCTTGTTTGCTGTTGTGTGTTAACGTGAAAGACTGTAGTGAAAGGGTTTGTATGCACTGCATCAACTTTGCCATTTCTTTTGCAGATATCGATGTCATGTAAATAATAGTAAAAACAAGTAGATACCACCGGAATTTCTATAAACTGCTTCCATGTAAGAACAGCAGTAACTGTAATCAAAGAAGTTACTTCAAAGCAAATATTGAACAAGCCGATGGTGTCTGCTCATCGCGGAGGGGATCAAATAGTGAGGTACCTTTCTTATCAAATTGCCGTGAGCCTCCATCTCTTTCGGGAGGGCTTCCCTAAGGGCTGTCGTTTTCTATCGCGAAACTTAGGCACTCTGGCAATAGCACCGGTCTAGATGAATTATGGATGTTTCACAACTCCCCAACGTGGACCGCCTGCTGGTTACAGCAGACAACCCACCCCGTGCCCCTAATACCCTAGAAGGTATGGATTACGAGCGATGCGCAGCTCTCCATAACTACCTCGTGAAATACGCCTGGGTGTATGAAGGCCGTCCATTAGCTAGGCTGAATGGTACCAGCTTTTTCACCAGTCACGGTGCAGCAGCTGAGGCTCTCCGCCCCCGGCTCCATCCCTCACTGGCGTGCTTCCTCGCCACCGCCGTGATACCTAATGATCCCGAGCCTGCACCATTCTTCTTCTGGGCCAGCGGACTCTCTGACCCGGAAATCTTTTTCGCCCACCATGTGGCCGACTCGTTCAACATGCCAGAAGACAGCATCGTATGCTTATACTACCCCAACGTTGGCCAGGGCGGAGAATTTGGCGCCGGCCTATTCTACCACCAAGGCTACCATCGCGCCGCCGTCTTCATGCACACGGACGATTTCGACTATGCGCTACCCGTCGAAGCGCATCCGTCGCTTTGGCATCCTCTTGAGACCGTCCTCTCCAACTGGATCGGCCTTCTTCGTCTGGGCAAGATTAAGGCTTCGCCAAGGGACACACCGTCTGTCTTCGGCAGCGAAAAGATCGGGCCCTGGGAGTGGTGGCCCTACAGCGATGCCCAGGTTGATGCTTGTGTCTGTGCGTGGGATCGGCTTTGCGACGCCATCGAGGCGCGCGTCTTACCGCTGCTACCACCAACCAGCGCTACTACTAATGTAGTCGAGCCCGAACCCGAACCCGAACCGCTGATCACGCCCTCCACCCTTGACGCAGCGTCGGTGCCCGAGCCTTGCTTTGCACGCGCCTTTTTGTCCCGTGCCCGCCGGCCCCGGTTCCGCTACATCGCTCCTGGTCTCATTCTCCCCCACGCAGGCGTGTTTGAGTTCGCAGCATCGCAGCGCTTCACGATGCTGCCCCATAACCCGCAGGTCATACCACCAGTATGCCTCTTCCCCGCCGACAGAGATGACCTCCAGGCCGACTTGACGGAATCATTAAGTTCGTTCAGCATCAAATTCCACATGATGTCTGCCAGCACGCCCGTACCGTCTCGGGTCCCCGCCGGTGTCTACAGTGAGTTAATGGGGAGGAACGCTTACGACACCGCTGAGGAGGGGTTTCGGCTGCTGCTGCCGTACTGCTTGGGGGGCGACGTTTGGAACGCGAGTGCGGACCCACGAAAGAGCGACGGGTCGTTTATTGACCCGAGAACGGTGGACTCGTTGTTTCAGCATGGGTATAAGCCTTTCGGCGGCGACTACTACCGCCCTCAACGGTTGGAACGTCTGTGGGACCATTGGCGCAAGCTGGTTGATGAAGGCATTTGGTCTGTAGGGCCACAAGGGGTGGAAGGTACCATTGATACCTTCAAGCAGGCTGCTGATACAGCGCACTGGAGGGACTATTTGATTTCGCCGACTTGGTAACAAAGGATCGCGTTCTTTCCCCGGAAAACCTCGCAACCAACAACTCTAACCCCGATGCCATCCGTTTTAAGGATGACGTGACCTTCATCGGACTGGCGCATCGTGAAGCGGACCTATTCACTGAATCGCCGAAGTATGGTTCTATGTCATAAAAGTCAATTGAGGTGGATAGAGATCAGACACGGCTTGGTTCTGTATCGGCGCCGAAGGAATTTCTAAGCTTTCGTTAGCTGGTGTTTCCCTGCGCGATAGCGGTATCATGAGTCGTCTGCGAGTAATATACTATAGGTAAACCAGTTCTCCTAACTGTTGTGATTTTTATCTTCTGAAGAACCTCTCAGCAAGATATTGGGTTTGTTTCCACAATTCTCCTTTCTACTTTCTAGGCAAGCTGAGACCTAGTCATAATGTCATTACGAACCCCTATCCTCGTCTTTCCTAGCAGTTGCAGCTGGTGGACGTGGCGCTTCCACCAAAGTCGAGGATTGGCCACTAGCCATAGGTAATATGACCGTTCTTCAATGGTAGTCGGAACCCATGTATTGAGTTTGGATGGCGATGAGCCGAAGAGCCACCCGAGGATGTGGCTGAAACAGCAAACCCAACGCCGTGGTGACAACGGCCATAGCGGTGCAGATCACCCCCGACAGCGGCGGATAAGCCAAAGGTGAATGGTGATAAAGCGATCAGGGGGGCTAGCTTCTTCTAGACGGAGTGCCCCAAAGGTACTGGGCGAGAGGGGGGCGCCGTGCTTTTGAGCCTGAAGATTTCATTCCTGGTTGCTGAGATCGCGAATATCATCACGTTTGCTGACTGCGCTGGGATTCTAACCATAAAGAACAAAATCGTCTGGATTGGTAATTGACGAAGCAACGAATCTCACGCAGCATTATGCCTGATATCCGCCGGTGCAGGTCAGATAGACAGCCTAACCTCCCTCGTCAGTCTAGCACAAGTTGCTGTTGCGTGCTACCATGGTGGCACCTGGTGCACAACATGCGTCTGGAATCCGCCAGGGAGCGCGCACGGAATTCTGCTGGATGCCCGCTGTCCTGGAGGACCTAACAATTAGCTTTTACTTGATATATCGGGAACACGATCGTGACGAGGCCGACCGACTTATTAGGTTACTTCCGAAATCGATTCGGAAGCTTCGCATCTCACATCTGTATAAGGACATGGAGAAGTCCCTGTGTCAACTTGCCGCGGTTGCACCAAACAAGTTCCCGCTTCTCAAGGACGTTGTTATTGGCGTTGCGGAGAGGACGGATCCGATATGCGATTCTAGCATCGATAGGACAATATCTCTTGGTAGTTCGTTCGAGGCTGCGGACACTAAGTTCTCCTCTACGAGGGACTTTCTAGGATCGGACCCTGGGACAATAATTCCTGGTGCAATGCCAAACTCGAGGTTAATTCCCGTACCTCGTGTCATGGATGTGACGACAGATTTCGAATTGGAAAATGAGTAGACGGGCATGTTGAAACGCTCTGTGAAGGGCCTCAGCGTTAGTAATCGCAAGTGTAGCACCTCGGTAAACACATACTGGTTATAATACCCAACTGTTTCTTACCTAGCAACTCCAGCTAGGTATTGTTCCTACCTGCCTACTTGTTCAAATCAGGTATGTACTTACTTTAGATAGATATACCTATTAAAGATTTCCAATGCGCCTACGTACCTATCTAGTTACTGTGCCCGGGACACCCAACGCCAATCATTTGGGTCTCTTTAAATTTATTTAGTTAGCCGGTTTTTCTTTTGCGGTATTAAAAAGGGTAGTGAATACCTATCTAAGCAGCTTAGCGGGGTTGCAAGCCCGAAAGCTTTATAGTTTGGTGTTTTGAGAAATTGCTCCAATAGGAACTGGCCTAGTGTGGCTTCTTCAGCCATGTAGCCTCTATAGCTCAGTGGTAGAGCGCGTCACTCGTATCGTGCTATGCGATATGACGAGGTCCATCGTTCGATCCGGTGTGGAGGCATATTTTGTGTTCGATTCTTTCGCAACTCTTATTTACTTTTGCCTTTTCTTATCTTCGCCCCAAGTTCCTTTTAATTTTTTACTATGCGATTCAAATGAGAACTACATGTGGCACGTATGACGTTCCGATATTATCTGTGTTTTTCATTCCTATACTTCATACACTGCCAACACGCCTGGGAGACATGCACCTCCAGCTACCTGCCAGGCTGGTATCATTAACACCGTCCCATTTACTAACCATTGGGTAAGGACAATATGCTAAGTGTATCGGTATCAGTTCATGGGTTCTCGTCACTCTCGAGGGGAAACGAATAGAAAATACCTACTTCTTTGCGCTGTAATACTGCTTCCGATGAGATCGTTTTTGTACTTTGTGCCAATTATTGTGTCGGGTGCTGTTCCATTTTCGACCCATTCAACCAGTGCAATGAGTGCATTGTGTGTAGAGTCTAGTAAGGCCTGATCGTAGGGGTACTTCTGTGCGTTTCCTATGCTCCATGCTCCTAGTCCTCCAGAGCAATGGTGCATTCCTGGGAGAAAGAATAATCGGTAGAAGCCTTGAATGTCTTCCATGGTAATATTGAGGGTGCTCTGCACACCAGCGAAGAATTGCTCAGAGACGGCCGAAGTTACAGTCTGGACTCGATGTCAATTTTTGCATTTATACTCCAGATGTAGAGACTCAGGGGCTCACTTACTTCGTCATTCCTTCCGTGATATGAAATAATCTTCCCTCCATTTCGGTAGAAGCTCATTAGATCCGTCTCACCAGCGTTGACCTGTCCCGGATTGATCTGTACGGCAAGGTCCATGTCAGACTCGCTGAACTTCTCTGGAGTCCAGGAGCTGTCATTATAGACCGTGCCGCTCCAGAAATCCTGCAAGATGGTGTAGCTCAACATTGCTGTCCCGTTCACTTGATTATCGGAGAAAACATCCGTTTTTGAACCCAGTTCAAAAGAAGGATACACAACATGACCTGAGGTGTTTGCGACTGGTTCGTAGGCCCTCCGGACCGACTCGATTTGCTGAGGACTGAGACACAACGAAGAGTTGAGAAAGCCGGTGCCGCAAGCTAGGCTCGTTGGGTCGAACCTATATCTCGTTGGATCATCAATGATACCGTCGGCTACACCATCCAGGGCATCCAACTGTTCGATCTGAGCCTCGACGATAGCTGGCCACTGCTCTGGTCGCACGTATTCCGACGAGTTAATGTTGGGCCAACCAATCCGCCGTGCGAGAATTCCTTTCGACGCAACGATATGTAGCCAGTCAACACCTGGGCTTCCGAGGAGCATCCCGTCAAAGTCTTCCGGGTACAAGTGCGCATTCTGGAATCCTTGGCGGCCCCCCGTGCTGCAGCCCGCGTAGTAATTCTTAGATGCCCCGGCGCCGTAGTACTGGGCTACGAGCTCCTTGCCCACCTCTGCCTCGATGTGGACCGCCCTGTGCCCGAAATCATTGATTACTTCAGGTTGATTCAAGAACAATTCGTATCCGACGGACCCATTATGTCCGGCATTCGTCCCGAAAGACGCAAATCCTAGCCCGGCGCCGTTCTGCATTGTGGCATAATCGATACATCCACCGATGCCCCCATTACCGGTAGCTAGAGATCGTCTGTTCCAGCTTTCTGGGTCTGGAAGCCAAGCTTCCATTTGCACTTCACTAGAGGAAGTGGTGGTGACGATGAGTACAAGCCGACAAAGATCCGCTGTGATGTTCGCCGTGATGTCCGGTCCGCCGCAGGACTCCACCGTTCCGGGAAGCGGGATTTGCGTTCCATTGGGGATATATTCAGACGCAACCACAACTACATTGGGTATCGAAATCTGGCTGCTAAACGATGCGCATGTTTCGGAAGAAGATGCTACTAGGCGGACGATAAACGCAGCCAAGACGGCGATGCTCCAAGTGAACGATATCATGACCAGTACTGCTATGATAGAACCAATGTAGAACTAAGATGTGCCGAGGTATATGACATACGACTCGGTTCATGCCTAAATTGTATACAAGCCATTATCCTTCCCCCTCACCAGTGGCTAATGTGGCACTCGCTTCCAAAATTTTATATACAGGGGATAGATAGGTAGTCTATGTCACGATTTGGACTAGAATCGGGAATAACTAGTCCGTCAATTCAAGACTTGGCGGTAACAAGAGCCCGAGGAGGCGGAACCCCAAAGCTGAAGCTGTCTTCTCCAGGTTCTCCGCATCACGCTAATTCCATCGTAGCATTGCTAAGTATTAGGTTGATCAGGTACTCTCCACAGTTCCCCATGCGAATATGACCTCGTCAACGAGTGATAAATTTCACCAGATTATTAGCATACAAGTTTCAAATTTCCCAATTGCTTCAGCTTTTGACATTGCAAACAAGTTCGCTACTCAGCTCGTATCAAAGTTTTATTCATTGAAAGCGTAGCATCCAGTGCTGTGATAATCCCTTAGCCTGTTATCAAAGGTAATACGGTCTCCGATATAAGTATAAACTAGGAAAGACGTGTGTCCAAATAAGCCCCGGGTAGAAACGTCGTAATATATCTCAAATAACACATAGGAAAACGGCAATGCCTGAAGAAATTTGCTGGGATCGATATATATACCCTCTCAGCTCCTTTGGTCGTATGAGGACACCGAGGAACTTCCCGGAGAAGATCCACCGGGTGTCATCTGCCTCTCATCCTTCCCTTGATATGGGCTGTCTGGACTGGAATCCCACATCAACCCTGTACCATTACAAGGTCGACATCCTTTGACCCTATTAGGTAATTCTGTCAGTTTACACATCTAGCAAGACTTATTATACTTACTCACAGTCTAGGAGTCCCAAGGCAGTAGGTGCATGAATAGGGCATGCGACGGTCAGGGCCTAGTCCAAATACTCTTCTGTCCTCAAGTAAAGAGTTTGAAGTGGTGCTTGATGTTTGAGAAGACATGCTGAAGGTCAGCTTCTTTACTGTTAAAGTATCAATTGAGTTTTCGTTGTTTGTCTCAAGCTCAACGCCTGTACTGAGATGTGAATTAGAGCCTGGCAGATCTCTAATGCAGGAGGGTTTGTGAGCCATCTTTATATCTCAAATTCTTGATAGAGAGAATCTTCCTAGCAGAGGAATCAAGGCTGTGTAATGTAAGACACACTGACTTTTGGTATGGTATATCCATGCAACTGGTATTGTTCATGGCAGAGGTCCGAGTAAGCTACTCGTGGAGACATTGGGATTCGGCGAATGGCCATGCAGATTCTAAGCTTTTCCTTGCTGCATAATATGAAAGAAACAAGGTAAGACGACATTTCACCCCTTCAATGGAGTGCCAGTACGAGATATTGAAAGCCACTCCAAGCTGTATCACTTCGCGTGAGGTCACTCCTGCAGCTTAGATCGGGCTCTCGTGCTGGGACGGGCCATATATAACGAATCAGGTGATTCTCCGGGGCCCAAGAACTGCACGAAATCCTTCAATACCGCCATTTTCATGCATGTCGTGTTTCGCGATCCTCTCAAGCCACTGTTGCATATTAACAAGACCGGCAACGCATCTTATTAGCGCTCTCCACGGCGGTCCGACTTTTGTGTTTCGTCCGGGCGGCCTATTCTAGAAGACGTAGAAAAGGGCTAGATCAGGACTTAACCGAGACATTAGGTGGTATGACCTTCCCTATTGGTGGCTCCTTGAAATGTTGCTTTTTCTAATCTGGCCGATCAGCTGCAAGTAGCCGCAAGACGGGTTATTACTTTATCATCGAATGGCGACACGTAACAGATGCATAGTCGGGAGACTCGGGAAATCCCCTTAATGTTGGGGGTAAACAGCTGATTGGTTTCCAAAATATTCAAGTACCCGTAGCTGAATACCAACCGTGCCTCGATGTGCTTTCATCTCGCATTGAGTCCGACTTACACGAGTCCGAGGCGGCCACTTGTCATCGGGGACATTGTGACGAACGAGATCAGCCCTCCATATCGGCGATCTCAAGTCGATCACCCGGCGCGCATACGCAGGTATCCGTAACATAGCAATCGGATAACGCCCTCTAGGTAAAACATCAATTCCTCAATAGAGTTGACCTAGCGAAGACTCGCATGGGGCTTCATGTGCCAAAAAGGGGCACATTGTTAGTCCTGATACTTCTCATAGCGCATAGCCGATGGAGATGGAGATCCATGATGGTGCAGTCGGGGTAATTTGAAGAACACATCGGCTGCCGCGGTTGGCCCAGATCCATGCTAACCCCTTTAAAGGCTATGGCCACATACAAGGTACGTATGGTGCGTCTGTCTTCCGCCCGGCGGGCTACATCCCACTTCCATCCACCACCCTTATCTGTCGTCATCGTTTGTCATGCTGTTCCAGGCCTGCGACACTAACCTCGAGGACGGCGCCCGGGATGCCTGGATCGGGGTTGCTCCGCATTCCCCGCGTTCCCCGCGTTCTCCACGTTCTCCACGGACACTACGGGTGCCACCATCATGGTAACCAAAGCCGGATCGACTTCGTCGTGCTACTATGTTATGAACGGTCTGGTCGGCGCCGCTTGCCCTGATTTTGATGTGTGATCTTGGGAGCAACAGGAAATCTACATTGAGACACACCTTCCGAGTAGAAGTGGGGGAAAGCAGACGACGACACGCCAGATTATCCACGCGCCATCACCCATCTCGTGGTGATGTTCCTGATCGGTTACGTTGGCGCCGAAATTGGTAGTCTCGGCGACTGGATCGTGGTGCTCATGCTGACGATTCGTAGCGCCGACATCTTCATGGTCGAGTTGACCGTGGCTTTCTTCTAGCTGGCATCCATTAATATCTGTGGAATTCTTTTTCTACCTATCGCATATTCTCTCTACCTGTCAGAGGTACTATTTATTTTCTAACCATGTCTTAACCTCTCTATTATTTCTATCAGGTATATATTGTACAATGAGAATAGGGGCTACCCGAGATCCACGTGTGTCTGGCCAGACAGACACACATTAGGTAGCTCCTTCTA